CTCCAATTGATCTTCATCCAATTTATCCTTGGTTGTCAACAACAAGGTATGCAATCTGATAAAGTGATGCTTTCTGTCATTATTGTTGGTAATTGATTCTAGGCATTTGATCACCTCCTCCCTCAATTGGATTGCACTCAGGTTTTCGTCCGATTGAGTTATATCATCAGTCTCGTTGTCTTCAATTTGTTTGCCTTTACCTTTGTTTTTCGTTTTCGAGGATTCGCCATTGTTCTGACGTAAATAAACGTATAGAATAAGAATAACATATTAGTTACAATCAATTTAGTAACAATCAATAGACTATTACGCTTGAATTCTATCTCTCGTTTACAGAATGATAATGAACACATATAAAGTGTGAATTAAACTTACTATAGCCTCTGCCATCGATATTAAAACCTAGCTTGCTCAATGAACTTTCGATGCTGCTAAATGTCACACTGACTATACAATCAACCAATCAATACAATGTACGTTGTGACGCTTGTACTCACACGTAATAGTTATACAGCATTAATGTCGGCATAAATACATTATGCTAGTTGTACTTGTACTACAAACAAGTTTCCGCAAATAATATCAGTCATATTAATATCGACACTTTTCCGCTGGATTCCAGACGGCTCTATATTGCTGACATTAATTACGTCGCACTCAATTATTATTGGTGCAAGTCTTATTGAAATACTATATTAGTATTAGTTTGCAAATTATTTCTTTCGCGTTCTTCTTTCACTATTATTTTCTTAATACTAAGCTATGAGAAACAGACGCAATAACAATACCGCTGAAATTACTATCCTCAGGATAAACCCGACTCTCTTACGCAAGAAATGAGGGATTTGGTAAAAAAGAGACTTTGACGAGCCACTACTCAGCTTTTGAACAAGTTACGAAGAATAGAAGATATTGAAGAGTTTAAATAATAAACAAAAGTTATTTCTCAATAACATTAAAGAAAATATTGATAGTGTTTTAGAGGCTTTCGATAGCTTCAATAAGATTAATAATAACGACAATTTATCATCGTCTTCTTCAAGCTCTTCTTCACCGCCAAAAATCTTGTATACTGAACCTGTCAAATTGCAATACTGTTAGACAAATATCATATGCGTACGGTTAGATTAAAAGTCTATATTTACAGTCTAACCACAGTGATGCTAAAAATTACACCATTTCAATGTAAATTATCGTTCGGTTAGATCAAATAGACTATATTTACAGTCCAACCGTAATGCTAAAAAAGGGCCTCCTTAACGTACACCCCGGGTGTACGGCAAATTCGTACACCCCCGGGGTGTAAGATAAAAAATACACCCGGGGGTGTACGATTATT